ATTCTAGGAAGTGGTCACTATTTGCTTGTTATTTGTTATTTTAAGTGTTTACTGTTAAGAACTAGGCATTGCTAATTTTATATGCACTTGGATTATATGAATTATTCCAGAAAACAGAAAATATTTGAGAACTTTTTACATTTATGCTCTGAACGCCTAGGCGCGCCTAGGCTACGCCTAATCAGGCAAGGCGCAAATCAGGAGCCGAGCGCCTGCCTTACGCCTAGGGCCTTTTAGAACCTTGCTATTATTACAATGTGTTGTTAGGCAGCCGACACCCTTCGCTCTAGTTAGGGATGCCACCAGCAATGCAACATATAAAACCTTCTGTTTGGTTAATGTAATCAATGCAACATTATATATACACTATGGTTGTTAATATAATTTGTACTTCAATCCTCTTGAATAACGAATGAATTAATTGATGGAAGTGTTACTAAAAAATTTGTATATGTCATGATGGTAAATCGAGTATCATAATCTAAAAGGTTACATTCGAGGCCCTATGACTCTTTATTCATCATTTCGCACCTCGCACACTAGAAGCGTTCGTAGTAGTATTTGAGTGATATATTTAACATCTCAAAGGTTTGGCTTAGCTCTCATGTGATGTGATTGAAGGTGATATGTACCGACGAGAAAAATTTTCACAAAAGGGCGTGCTATTTGTTTACATCCATTAGTTAAAAAATCCGACTTCAATAATCATTTATTGCTATATATCTATAACTAGTTATAAATGAGTAATAAGTACATAGAGTTGAGAATTCGACCATTTTTTTAATATTTTTTCAAAGTATGTATTTGTTTCGGTTAGTTCTCAGTGGAATTCGGAGTCCGATAGATAGGATTAACAACTATGATTTATGAGAGCTTAGACTATAGATTAACCATTTAGTAATGGAAAAGAGATAAACAAAAGTGATCAATGAAGAGCATCCAGTCCACACATTAGTGTCATGCGATAACCTCTGAAGACGATCGAATTAAATACGATAAATTCTAAAATATGAAGATCAACTAAAGAAGTAATCATATCGAGCACATATCGTCTATCTGAATACCTTGATAAGTCAAATGTTGTCAAGCAGTAATTTTTTTACTTTCTTTTACTTCTTTTGGAAATGAGAGTACATTCGATTTATATGGTTCAAGACCACATTAATCAATTATGATGATGAAGAGTAAAGAAATTCTGTTGGCCGGTGTGGTGGATACATGATCTCATAGTTACATTTCTGAATGTGATGATGGGATTTGAGTTTTCTGATAAAAAATAGTGCAACGTTTTGAGAGATACAAAGATTTCATCCATCTTGTCACCCTCTCTTGTCTTGAAATCCTATTGTAGACTTTGGGACTCTTGTCTACCTTTGCAATTATTGAGAGTGTATGTATCCTGCAACTTGTGGGATCTCTTTAATTATCCATAAAGGTGTATCTAAATTTTATTCTATTCAAAATGATCATGTAAGTTTGAGCTTGTAGCAACTAGCAGGATGATCCTTATCCTATTATCAGTGTTTGTTCAAAATTATGTCCAATTTATCTTCTAAGTCATGTAATTCATTCAAAAATTTATTAGAAACAACGATCTACTCAAGCAGACTTACTTTAATCTAAAGGGAGCAAGATTTGTAGACCCAAGTCGAAGCTATGTAAGGATTTCCTAATCCTTTAAGCATCATAATTCCATTAGACCACACACATAACACACTTTGTTAAATCTCTCTAAATCATATCCAAACTATATGTATGCATGATGCTAACTTGAGAATTTGAAGTGTAATGACAGTTTTTATCCATGAATTTGGTTCCATCCACAAATGAGAAGATCATCGATTAGCAAAACCAAAATAGAATCTACCCAAATTTGTTAAGTCATGTTTCTCTATATATGGGTATATCTTCACACTCTCACTCTCATTTTATTGTTCTTGATGAGTGACAAAGGTACGTGTAATTCAGGGTGGGCTGTAGCTCCATCGCTATTTTTTTATTTGAGATCATAAATTGTGAATCATATGATAAACAAACATTGAAAAATGGCAAAATAATAGGCTATAAACTCCAACTCATTCAAAACATCCTAATTCATTTCCAAATGATAATTGTTTTGTTTGTTTATTTCTACCCTCAGTTAGCTTATTATAAATCCTGACTTTCTGTCTTTCTCCACTATTTTGACGGCAGACAATAGTACTGGAAAAGGCAGGCAATTAAGCTGATGAAGAGAATCACATAATATTTGATTAGACAAAGTGAAATGAAGGAGATGGGCGACCCACCCCAACCACCTGATCGATCAAACATAAACAAATTAATTAGTTACACCTCAAATTAGGAAAAAGAATGGGATCAAGAAGTCTGCCTAATTATTTGTTTTGTTAATTCTACTTGATTATGCACTTTAGTTTGTACTATTGGCAGAGACCAGAACTGGCAAACATAAATCAATAATGGAGGGGGGGCTAAGCTAACAGTGACAATCTAGCTCTTCACGACAGTTGTCAGAATTGTTCTGGTTTTCATCATCCCTCCAGATTGTCTCTGAAACTCATAAATTGTTATGTCTTTTAATTTTATTTTATGTTTTCTCTGCAAACACATCTACCCGGTTATATTCAGGGTATATAATTGAGAAGTCTTGTAATTTATTTGGCCTATTTAATTTCAAAGGGCCTCTCTCTATATATAACACAATTTAATTGATAACAGTGAAGTGAACAGTAGCAGTACAGAGAGAGGTGGTGTTGGTTTATTGTGGGCAAGACATTGAATGCAAAATTTCTTTGTTGTTTTCTCATTGAAATTTTGTGGACAAAGTGAAGCTATTATCTCATTATTCAGTGCATGGAATTGTCACAGTGTGTCACACTCAACCAGGGATGCCAAAAGTATTAGTGTGCCAGAATTTTGCTGCTGCTGTTGCAGTTCCTATCCCATTAATCAACAATCAATAACTACAATGGGTTACAGTTACTGGTATGAGTATCCTCAACAACATATAAATAGATTCGAATGTGAAATCTTTCTTTCAGGTTAATGATCTAACAGTTCGATCACATCGCTCATGTTATTTCTATTGATTGATTGTGTACATAATAACTACACTAAGTAATAAGAAGAGCAAGTAACAGGAGAAGTTTAGAGGAAAGGAGAGTAGAGAAGATGGTGATATTTAATTAGAGTGAAAATGATGTTGAGGGTGTGTATTGGTACCCTCCTTGCTTCCCTCTTCCATTTATTGCAATTGTCTTTATGCCTTTTCCCCCCTCCCTCTCATCTTTCATTTCCTCTTCACTAAAATGCTCTTTGTCTCTCCTTTTCTTTTCTTTTCTTTTCTTTTCTACTCTACTACTATACTGATCATTCATCATCATCACCATCATCCCCTTTTATCCTTTCCCCCTCTCCCTCCCCAGTCCCTTCTCTTCTCTTCTCTTCTCCCCCACAAAAACTTTGCCTTTTTGGCAATCTTCTGCCTAATTTGCAGCCCCTCCTACTCTCTCTTGATTGATCTTCTTCCTGTTCTAGCTAGCTATAGCTAGCAGCACTATATATATAGCTAGGGTTTGTGGTTCCTTTCTTTGTCAAACACACTTTTCACATAGCAGCAGCAAACCAATTATTCACCCCCTCAGTACTCAACCCTCCCTTCTATTTGCAGCTAGCAAGCAAGTGTGACTCCATATATTGCCCTATAGCTTAATTTGTAGCTTTGCATAAACAGACAAAGGTAAGTTCTGAAGCAACACCCCCTTTTCATACCTGTGCTTGTGTGTGAACTTTTGGGATCTGTTCCCTTATTGAATATTGATCAGTTGATACATATATATATGGTGGGTGACCGGCCAATCAAAGATTGTGGCTTGGGATCTTGGCATATATATAGATATATGCATGTCCTTTCTGCAGTAATTCTTGTTATCTGGGTTTCTTCAGATTTTTCTTTACTACTTTACCCACTTGACTGGAGATGGTGAAAATAGAAGATACTATATGTGCCCCCAACATATATAGGAAGAAAAACACCACTTCATTCTACAGTATCATCTCTGTGGCGTGGCTAGCTAGTTGGGAATTAAATATAGGACAGTACTGATCATAAGAAAATTTTGAACTGTTTGAATGATTTCTTGCAGAAATCTAGCTAGCTAGCTATAGGATCACAGTGATAAGGAGGATCTGATATATGTATCTTCGACGCTGACTTTATACAAATTTGTCTGTCTTGACTCGCCAAAAGCTAGCTAGCTAGATGAAACACATATGTGCTCTATACTCATAGAACAGCTGCTAGCAAAGTCTTGGAGGGAGTGGGGGCAAGAATTCAACAAAGACTGCTTCAATTTCTCTCCCACCCTCACAAAACTTCCACATTAGAACAAAAACAACTTGCGGCAGCATATAGGTGATAAGATGTTATCCTCTTAACTTATCTAGGAATGTTCAGGTCAAAAATCAACGATAGTATAGCTGAATGAAGTACTCGTTAGCCTCGCATTCTTAGATTCAATCACATAATTAACAATATAGCTCTCTTAACCTCTTCCTAATATTCCTAGCATAGATATCCCAATAATATTAAATTACTATAAGGATTTGTAGATGTTCAATCTTTCAACAAGAAGAGAAAGTAGGAATTTGTTCCGAACCTTTTTCATCTCTTACTGTTATTCCATCTATATAATTAATTCAGTCGCATAACATTTATTTCTGCAATACTCTCAGGCCCAACAACTCGAATAACTTTAAACGAACTTATTCTTGTTTGAACGCTGACCACGATCTGAGCTTCGTTTATTTGTTGGTTGGTTGTATATCTATAACGATAGATTTGATGGTTTTAACACCAATAATTCTCTCCATAGCTATACTAATTTTTAATCTGAAGATGTCACATTCACATATACATTTTGCAAATAATCAAATCCAAAACTGACAGACATAGAATGTATATCCTTGTCGTTTCTTAGGCTGCTTACACATATATATAAATGGCATCAGCGGCGGCGGGATCCTCCTCCTCATCGTCAGCCTACTCAAACTCGCCGTGCGCGGCGTGCAAGTTCCTCCGCCGAAAGTGCCTGCCGGACTGCATCTTCGCGCCCTACTTCCCGCCGGAAGAGCCGCAGAAGTTCGCGAACGTGCACAAGATCTTCGGCGCCAGCAACGTGAGCAAGCTGCTGAACGAGGTGCTCCCGCACCAGCGGGAGGACGCCGTCAACTCGCTGGCCTACGAGGCCGAAGCCCGGCTGAAGGACCCCGTCTACGGCTGCGTGGGCGCCATCTCCGTGCTGCAGCGCCAGGTCATCCGCCTCCAGAAGGAGCTCGACGCCACCAACGCCCACCTCATCCGCTTCGCCTACACTACTAGTAACAACACCAGCAGCAGCATTATTACTCCTACTACTGATCATTTGAATCATCATCAGGATTATTCTTCGGGTGGGGCTTATTATGGTAATTACAATGGTGGTAACTACGGTTCATGGAATGGTGGCATGAATTGATGAGGCTAGCTAAATGGAAGGGGAGATGGAAATTAATGGGAGCTTCTGATCATATGCATCAAGTATACTATTAGATATTGCTGCCTGAAAGTTGCTCATAATATTTTTGCATATTGGTATATGGGGTGAATTGTACGGTACCGTACGTGACGAAGTGATGGACGATTGGTCATATGACAATTCAAGAAGTTTATATCTTTACCGATATTACGATGAAACTATATATATTGATGGCTATATGCTATAACAACGTATCAAGTAAGTTCTTACGATTTGCTGTATCGAAGACCTAGAAGAACCCTATTTGCCATATGGTAAGTTTAATTAGGGTTTTGGGTTTGTGTTATGTGTGTATCAAATGTTTTAGAGTCATATGTGATTGTGGGTGTTTGTTTTTCTTCTCTATAAAGGGCTTATGGAGAATACTTAGAATGTGAGATATATTGTTTTTTTTTCCTTCTTTTTTTTTTTGCTCTTGTTTTATTTATTTTTGCTTTTCCCGTCCTTTCTCCCGTCATAAGGCGTGGTCTGACTCTGATAAAAACCATTCCTGTGTTTAGGTCCCTACTAAGCAGTGGTGGTGTATGGGAATGGGAATGGGAGTTTGGATTTTGTGTATTGGAGAGAGCAATATATTGAAGTGGTCTTTAATTGATCAGTTTTGAATTGAAATATAGATAAAAGGATGCGGCTTCTTGCATGTACACTTGCTCTCTTCCCTTTTTGGCTACTTTTAATTTTTGTTTGCATTTGTTTTGGCATTTTTGACAAATATATATCATGCCTCTCTTTGGAGGCTAGCTATCATTTGGATTCATATGGGCACTATATTGTTGGCATTCTGTCACTACTATTAGTCTGTCAATATTTTTGGCCTAGGTATATAAAACTTGGAAATGATGGTAGAGGAAAGTAAGAAGCAAAGTAGGAGTTGAATTAAGTGAGAAAAACATCAAAATACATTATATTTGTAAAGGAATGATATAAGATCAATTTTATAAAAAATATTTAACCAATGAGATCAGCTAATTCTTGATCTCGATGTCTCATTTTTGATTTTTCACGATAATCAATTCACAGTTGATTTAAGTCTGGGGCTAATTAATTCTTGACAATGTTTAGTAGAGTATGAAAATGATAACCTTATCAATTGTAATTCAGAAAGACTCGAATAAGAAACCTCTATCAAACTCTCTCATACCCTGTGTGTAACTAATTAATTGTCTAAACAAATCAAATATGAACCATATATACGACCTATAATATAGGTTTCTCTTGACTGATGTATAATAAACCATAAATACGCAACTAGGCATCCACTACAAAAATCTAGTTATATATAGTATTTATTTTGAAATACTCACAATCCACTCATACCTACCTAATCAGCTAGCCCTAACTAATGTACGTATAGCAATTATATGATGGCAGGGCTCCCATGGTATGTATCTATAATTAATTATAATAATCCTTTAAGATATAATTGGAAATCAGGCTTAATAATAATATATATGTAAGTAGATACCATAAAATTGGAGGGTATACCCAATATCTCACTTTCTGCCTCACAAAATTAAAGGTACCCACGGTTTTGTAAAGATGACTGATGAAGATTCTCTCTTATTTGTAATCTAATTGTTAATTGTGATGATTATAGTATAGTTTAGGAACGGCGTACAATTATTTGCTTGTCAAAAAACATTGTATGGTTGATAACTTATCTTATAGTGGTCTCTTAATTAATTATTTAATTATAAGTATGAACTATTGCATAATTGGTGCGCCCACTTCTTGAATCTGTATAATATTATAGCATATGAACTTTTTATGAATCTTCTCCGACTTTTCTTTTATGTCTTTTGGCTTCTTTGTTTTGGCAAAATAGAAAGTAGTACTTCCAAAGGGAAACTTATTATTTTTGAGTGGCTGATTTTCTTTATGCTTTTCTTTTTCTTTTTATTCGTAGGCAGGAGTTAAAAGGAAACACAAGCAGTGTCAATGCAAACTTTAAACTGAGAAGATAATATGTTATTTAACGACTTTCAACTACTCAAATTTTTGAAACCAAAATTCTCAACAAATCATACTTACGAGTAGAGGTGTGCAACGAGTTGGTTTGTACCAAATTGCACCGAACCAAACCAACACTTGTTCGGACCACACCAAATCGAATATAATATGGTTCAGTGTTTGGTCCAAGAATTTTATAAATGCGTAAGAAAATAGACCGAAGTAACATTATTTAGACCAGACCAAACCGAACCGAATGCAATGTTGATCCGATCTTTGATCCTTATATGTTTTTCACTATTAGACCACGATTCTCATGAATTTGATACAGTTCAGACTGGACCGAACCGTTACACAACTGTTGGAGCATAGTCTAGTAACCTTCAATACACTATTTCGGCGATACTGGGTTTTTTTTCCTTTGATTGAGCTACAATCAATAAATTATCAAACTATAGCATCAATATTGCTCTTGAATAATCAAACTAATCTTCTTAACTACCCTTGGACAGTTAGTTTGGCTTTTGATAATATGGTTGAAAGTGTGTTGCATAACTCCAAAAAATACCACGGGTAGCATGCACAAGTAGATTATAAGTTATAACCTAGAGTTAGCCTATAAGCCGACAGGAGATCTTCAAAATTACACGAAAAGCAGCTGAAAATGAACCCCAAAGTGAAATAAACAAATAGAGACGGTTCCCTTGAACGATTACTCATAAGTCCCCTAACGAGAGTGTGAACAAAATGAAAATTTTCTTTGTCCCCTTGCAACTTTCTTTTTCTCACCCCATGCCATCATCAAATCTTACGCTTCTCGGCCATGCTTTTCCATTTCAAGATTTGATCATACACGAATATGCAAATAGGCCAACAAGATCCTCAAATCTTGAAGTTGTAGTTGTTGTGTAAAAGTGTTTTGTGTTAGATTCTCACCTTCATCAATTGGTGCAATTAAACTGTTGAGAACCGTATGAATCGTCGTATTTGATTGGGTTCGATTTAACAGGTATGTGTGTTTTGCTGATTATTGCACAAATTCGAAGATAATCTCGAAGAATGTGTAGATCACCCTTCGTAAATAAAAGTATTGTTTTGTGTTATGCAAGAATGTATATAGGGAAGAGCGAAGAACATTTTTATGTTTGTGTCATTAGTTAGTCGGATAAGTTAAATGTTAATCGTCAACGAATTTGTCAGTTAGCGGTTAACCGCCAACCAAACACCTATACAGCTAGCCAACCTTTCACATTCTTAGTGGCTAACGATTACCCATTAACCGATGGTTAGCGATATGTTAACCGTTAACCAAGAACTCACAGCTATATTAACCGTTAACCAATAATTAGCAGTTAAATTAACCTTTAACATAGATAACCGTGTAAACTATATTAGCAGCCCTAACTGAGACCCAATATTTATAGGTTGCTCTTTGGTTCTGAAGTGTGTCAAGTACCAAGAGCGCAAGGGCTTGGCGCACCTTGATCACAACTTTCCGGAGAATGACTTGACCCTTGACTCCGAGTTGGTCGCGGACTTTACCCCAAGTCTAGATCGCCGGAGTTAGACCAAAAGAGACATATATATAGTTAGAATTCATATGCGGCCGGCCGACTAAACTACAGGGAGCATTCGCCGGCCGACCTCAAGTGAGAAGCCCCAAGTGATATAGTTTTGCTTTAACATTGGTGATTACAGATTAGACTAATTTACGGGTCGGCCATCAGTCGGCCGCGGTGCAAGTAGAACGTTGGTACGTAGTGCGCGCGCTTTGTGCAATTGGGCAGCCGAAATTCCCTTTCAACTAGACTTTTCAAGAGAGGATGTGTGGTCATCATATATACAAACCAATAGACAATAGTTACCAACTTCACTGCTAGTTATATTCACCAGTTTTCTACAGTTGGGTCTGACCCATTTGGTAGCTATTGGTGGAGCCATCTTTTTAGTGCTTTTGACAATTCGAGTTATTAGCTAGGATAAATATATGTGTGCATAATCGAAATAGTGGATTGGACCTATGCGCATCAAGTATTGGAGTTGTTGGGTATTGAAGGTTGACGTCCAATCCCTAATGAGCCAGGACCAACATTAAAGAATGTTGATATAAATACATAGCGTGTCGGAGATCTATGCATGCAATCTAGTTCATAACAAGTATTTCAATTTTCAACTTTCGCTCGGGGATCATGCATATTTTTTCTCAAGGATGCGTTAAATATTTTCAATAACTCGAGTTATTGTCTAGGAATGAATCTTATGTTTCCAGCCGTTCATACATTTTACTCAATCAAAAGCTAAACAATATTGAGGATCTTCAGTACTCGAACACAGAGGTCAAACCCTCTAGCTAGCCAGTATCATGCGGGAACTAATTAATCACAATAATTCGAGTTGTTAGAGTGGCCGGCCAAAAAATTAGACCTTGCACACACCACCACCTTAAATTTGGTTTTGACACCGACAAAGCTTAGATGAAGCAACTTCATGGGTAGTGCATGCATGTTGACCCTCTTCTGCTCTTCAAACGTTTTCTACTGACAACTCGTTTTCACCATTGTCCCCCTTCTGTTTGAGCTTTCATTTTTGGTAGGGCGCCATGCAGTACTAGTACACTAATTTGCATACTGTTGGTGAATATGCAAACTGAGGCATCATATGTACTACCACACTAGTCCATCACTAGCAGTAGTACTGCTATACTCTGAGATAAATGATGATAATCCCATCTGGCTGCTGCTATATACATGCTGTAAAATTGTGACTCATCACCTTCCTCGTGAGGCCACGTGTACTCAAGAACCCAAGTTCCTCTGTCCACTCTGCAGACATCACATGTCTGGCCAGCCGGTATAGACATTTTCGCAGGATAGGCATCAATACAGATTGATATACCGTTGAGTGACATTATTCACTATCTTAAATAGTTATTGGGTGCTTGTATTGGCGTCATTTAAACAACATATATCGAACGACTTAGAACACTTCATTGCGTGGTTTGAAAACTTCATATTTTATACGAATGCTAACCCTCAATCGGCATATCAACCAAACTGGAATTATATATATATGAAAATATTGTTTTAATGTAGTGCAATTATTTGCACATGATCGCACATTCCATTTTGCCTCCTTGTCTCCCTTCCTCTTTGCCTCTTCTTTTCTTTCTCTTCCTAATCATTGGCCTACTAGCATCTCCTCCAACCTCCCCTTCCCTCCCTAAGAGCCGCCCTATATGTTTGTAAGCTTTGGCTCACATAATTTGAGGTTGAGCCCTATGTGGAACTATTGACACGAGGAGACATATTTCGTTTTAAAATTCGACGAAATTATCATTTTGTTGTTTGAATTTCATCATAATTTATTAATTTCGACGATATATATGAGCATTGAATAGAGTCTTCGTCCGACCATCTCATAACCGTCATAAATACCTATAAAGCAAATACTAGAGGGACTGTGAGATTAGAGTTCATGAGACCAGATAAAATGTATCCTAGTCTCCCTTTGCATCATTATATCTCCAAATTAAACTTACTTTTGTCTAATTCCCATAACAAGTAAACTTTCTCAAACAATGTATGGAACTATGGATAGAGCTATATATGCATATGCATATACATACTAATAACTAATTAACTCGTTAATAATGTAGACCACAATTTTTTGTAAAGGCCTGTATAGATGGGGTCAATGTGGCCAGGAAGTCAAACAAAAGATACTCTTCACCTAAAATTCCATTTCATTGGTGTAAACAAACATGACAAGTAAATAATGGAGCTAAGAAACAAACAGAGCGTGCGCACGGGCAGAATGGTGTGTTATTGGGCCCACTGTCAAAGCGAGAGGTCCCCATCTGATATACTAATCTATGGGCGTTAAAGGGTCTTAATCTAGGAGGCGAGAATATGGGCCTGGGCCCTATGGTCCAGCACCCAAGTCTTGTATGACTCTGTTCCAAGAATGGGTCACATCCCGGACGGGTCACTTTCTAATACATGTCATTAAACCCCTGTTTTGAAAACGAATGGGCCCATCCGATCCTCCAACCGCCCAAAAAGTTGAGGGGGGAAAATGAAGAACAGCCCCTAACCAGAGACAGCTCTGTTACAAATGCTCCCAAACAAAAAAAGAAAAATTCAGAGTGATTGATTGATTTGATTGTGCATCTGATTAGACCTTTCTTTCTTCCCCTTTCAAAGAAGCCCACTGGGCTGTACCCCCTATGGCCCATGAACAGATTAAGAGCTCTATCAAGATTTAAACTGTCCTGGTAAATGGTAGTAATTAGCTATCTAATCTTAAACCTGCCGCTGAAGAATCTTAATAGACCCTATGGACCCGCAAAACATGATGGCAGAATCCAAGGCCTGAAGCCCAATTATGCACAGATGTAAAAAACGGGCCCATTGTTTGTTCTACCGCTTGCTGAAAAGGTCTGCTCGCCTTATCTCCTTTGGCCCATAAACTTCTCTGTAGCTTTGTCCAGTTGATGAGGGGTAGAAATTGCCGACTATGTCAATGTTCATATCGGTTCCACAAAGTGAACAGACATCTACATGAAACTGGATCAATTGATCCGTGTTTCAGTATTCGATTTATGGAGCAAAGACTTTACAGTGAAGCTTTTGGCGACCTTCTCACTGAGGAGCAAAATTTATCTCTAGCTTAGGTTCCGCCATCGTTGAAACATTTAGTTCCATCTTTAGCATCAGGTTCTGAAGTTCTGAAAATCCCCACGGAGCCAAACCATTGTGTGCGAAGTGTACACCCAAGGCCTTGTTCGTGAAACAGAGGAAACCATGGGAAAACATAGTAGTATGTAGTAAGTACTAATATAACAGTGAAGAACTGAAGGAGATACACAGCAATTCAACCAAAAGAAAGCAAACTAGAACATCAAATTCTCCCTCTTACATTGACAAAACCCGGAAAAGAAAACAACTTTGGACCTGTTACCATTACATGCAAACAAACCCTTATCCACCACCATTTTCATGGTTTTGTTTCCTGAGCTTTCCTCTGGATCTCCTGCCCGACTTCCTTGGTCTTCTGCCCAACATACCCTGCCGCATCATGCACCCTCTTCCTCGCCTCCTCGAGCTGCCCAGGCACCTCCTCCGTCGCCATCCGGAGGTATCGAGCGAACCATGACAGCGAGGTCAGACCGGTCAGCCCGACCAGCCCGGACGACAAGAAAGCGGTGACCGCAAACGCGATGGCCAGAGAAGCCGGGACGATGACAGGGCTACAGATTAGGAACACAGGGGTCGCCACCGCCAGTCCAATGAGCGTTCCAAAAAGGGTTAACCCTGCCAGCGCGAGGAGTGTTCCGCCGATTGGAAGCCCGGTCATGACAGCCAGTATGGTCGAAGCGGACGGACCGGTTCGCTGGTAATCAGGTCTGCCGCCCTTGAATCCGCCTTCGTAGCGGCCTGGGAACTGGGAGTGGACCTGGACTTGGTGCGGGTGTGTACGATCCATTGTTGTTGTTGAAGAATTCTGGAGCTTGATGAGATTGTTTTTGAGTTTAGAGATGTGGGATAGAGAGAGGGTAGTGTGGAAGGGAATTAAGAGAGGGAGAGAGAGAGGGAGGAATATAAAGCAGGGGAGGAAGGGTGAGGAAGTGACACGTAGGGTGGTGACGTGACTGGTAAGGGCTTTGCATGACAAACAAGTTTCAAAACAGACTTACACATGACGAAAAACAAAGAAAGAAAAAAGAGATTTGATCGAACGGGAAGGAGAAGAGAAAGGGAAATAGGAAAGGTCGGCTTGGCTATGGCTATGGCTATGCTCTGCATCTATGCAGTTGTTATTTGCCAGTTGCCAGCCACCGCCACCGGGAAATTAATTGTTTACTGGCCTTTTCTGGAAGATTTTTGTGGTGGAAGTGGAAGATTGCATGGCCTTTTCTTCTGTTGCAACTGTAGTTTGGTTAAATTTGAAGTTCTTGGTACTAATTTAAGCACTTGATGATCATATGTCAGATGTACAAAATGTGCTATTGGTATTTTCTTAGGTTATAACTCTAGACTCCTAAAGCGTGCAAGTCAATTGCTTAACTAGACAACAATATAAATGTTGAGTAGTTCCTCATTAAGAGCAAACCCACTATAACCAAAGAGATTGAGTTGGAATTTAGAAGTACCAAATCGTAGGGAAAAAAGTAATTATGAGTGCTAATTGAGAGCCATATGAGTGAATTGGGTGCTCAGTTTTGTATTTACTATTACCACTGATCCACTGCATGCCAGCTCCCTTGTCTTCTTCCTTTTCCCTTCAGACTACACCTCTTTTCTTTCCCCTCCTAGTCCTCTGTAAGTTTTGAAACTTGTTTGTCATGCAAACCGCTTCCTCGCCATCTCACCTCTCTACGTGTCACTCTCCCCTCCTTCACTCACTGTATAACTCCCCCACCACCCCTACTCCCTCTCACCGATTCCTCTCACCACTCATCTAAAACCCTTCCAAAGCTCTTTATTCTTCTTGTAAAGGCTCAAGCTTTATACCCGCAAAAGAAAAAATGGCGACAATGGGGGATCGTGGACAGCAGCACCGCTTCGATGCTTATGGCGGTGGAGGCCGTTATGGAGGCGGCCTCAAGGGCGACCCACACCAGAGAACAGGACCTTCACCTTCAAAGGTGCTTGCAGTCGTCACCATGCTCCCCGTCGGTGGCACTCTCCTGGCGCTGGCCGGGATAATCCTCTTCGGGACTCTCATCGGATTGGCTGTCGCCACTCCCGTGTTCATCATCTGCAGCCCTGTTATCGTCCCTGCAGCTCTGCTCGTTGCGTTTGCCGTCACCGCTTTCTTGACCTCGGGGCTTGCTGGGGCCACGGGGCTGACTGCGTTGTCATGGTTCGCTATGTACCTACGGCAAGCTGTGCGTGCTATTGTTCCTCAGGCGAGCCAAGCTGTGCCGGAGACTATGGAGCAGGCCAAGAGGCGCATGCAGGATGCAGCTGGGTATGCCGGGCAGAAGACCAAGGAGGTCGGGCAGGAGATCCAGAGGAAAGCTCAGGAGACGAAATGAAGGAACGAATGAGGAAGATCCAAGATGGGATGCTGGTTGGAGTTCCGGAGTTGGGTTTATTTTGCGTGTAGTTTGATGAGTTTTTTAAGGTCTTTTCTCGCTTCTTCCTTTCTTTCTGGGTTGTGAATGTAAGCAAGCAACATTTGGTGGTTTAGTTTTTTTTCTGAATCGCTCTGTTTTCCTCCTTTCTACTGTTCGACTCTGTTTCCCCTGTTTCGGTTTAGTTGGTGATGAAACCGAACTATTACAACAACTCTTGATTCTCTACAAAAGCGAGGACCTTGATTAAACTACTGATCAGCCTCTTAACTGGGAAGAACAAGACACGAAAAGGGTCACAGTGGAGGATGGTTGGGCATAGCTCCACTGCCGCCCTCGACTGGTGGTGCTGGTGCCTCTGCCAACGATGATGGTTTGGTAGTATCGGGGATCCAGAACGTAAGAACGGAAGATGCAGCGACGAACATTACCCGTCGAGGAGCCCATTTCAAGCAAGATGGAACACCTATATGGCTGCTCCAGCATGCCACCGGCTAAAGAAACAAAAAGATAGCACACAAAACCCCAGAATCAGAAATTGTGACATCCATGTATATTGTAGAAGAACATCACCATTAGTTTTCAATGTACCTCGTTTGGTTTGTTGATGTTCCAAGCACGCAATGTCCCATCTCCCGAGCCTAACAAGAACATGAGATCGTAGCTGGTAAGAACAGGATCATCCTTCTCAGACTGAACATATATCCCCGTAATTAGTGATAAATGAACGGTATTTGGCTGAATTTATACTGGTTGAGCTTGAAAAGAGAAAAGTTATGGTGTCTTTCGTTGGGGAGATGAAAAGGAAATGAGGAAGGTGGATTACCTGATACTACATACTGGCCATCCGGGGTAAAAGTCGCCTCTATGGTTGTGTTTGGAGACGGTTCCATGCTGAATCCACAGCGCTGAAGAATAGAAAAGTTGACGAATCAATCAGTCGATAATCCCATTCACAACATGCTCATAGACTTACTTGTGGCTAGAGATCGTAGAGTTGCATTCACAGGAAAGCTAACCTTTTCTCCTGCATATGCATCAAGCACATAAACGTTATTATTGCTTGTTGTCAACAGCATGGACTTCCCATCGTTGCTGAACTTGATATCGCAGACCTCAGCAGTGTCTCCCCCAACTAGAAATGTATCGAAAGGCCCCTGCCAATTGCAGAGCAATGTCAATATTTCAATCCACACCATTCTACAGCAACAAAAGTGGGAAATGGTTGGTTTGTTTGCTGATGATCAGTACCTTGTCATAGGAACGAGAGTCGAACAGTTTGATAGCACCCCCTTCCATAGCCACAGCAAAGACGAGACCTTGTTGATCATACGCAACAGTTGGTCGACCTCTCAGCCGTAAGATTCCCTGAAAGCTATACCAGTAAGCATGGAATCACAACTATGAACAATGACAAAACTACGCTCTAGGCCTAACCTCCCTAAGCTACCATGGCTGACACAAGCTAGTGTTCTTGCTGCATTTAGAAAGGAAACCTACCTGGCATGCGTTAACACGCAGATCCCATATTCGGGCGCTGTGATCGAGCGAACCAGACATGAAGCTATCGTTGATGGGAGACATGCATAGGGAGACAATCCTGGTGAGAAAGAAAGAAAACATAGATAAAAGGCTTCAATGGCATAACAAATGAATCAGAAGTAACACCTCTCAAGCATAGTTTTGAGGAGAACAAAGAAAGTACTCACCTGTCATTGTGTCCTTTGAAATACCGAAGACATCGGTTATCATACATCGATAGATACCTTAAGGATTCTGAACAAAAAAAGCAACAACACAAAGCAGAATAGACCCATCAATGGCTGCCCTCTCATTCGTAGATAACCTACAATACCAATTCATAAGCAGTGCATCAACTCACCTCCAGAAGTCTCCAAATTGTATTTGGAAGAGCAAATCACAGAGCTAGGATGGTGAGTAAAGCAAATGCGGTCAGCTCCATGCTTCTTATGAAATGTAGTCTTCAGTAACCTGCAATGGAAGCCACCGATTAAAGCAAAGACGATCCCTTTTCATATTTTGTAGAAAACAAGCAGCGCCTTCTGTTTCATCCTCCAATGGGATTCTGTTCTAAGCGAAGAACGAGATGGGGAACTGAAAGAAAGCTTACTTGGCGCTTGCAATGTCGTACAGGCGAACAGAATCATCGTCGCTCGCCGTCACCAGCAAATCATCTTTACGATGGAAATCAACCGAGTTTATCTTCCCTCCCTGAAATAAACAGCAAAAGTTCAATCTCCATTTTTTAGCTGCTTCTCATCTTGAAAAACTCCGATTACCAAATTCGGGGCGAGAACAATCAGAAAGCTTTTCTTACGAAGTCGTTGAACACAGCTCCGACCGCCATGCTGCGCACGGTGTCTTCATCAAGCTCCGAAAGCGCCGCCGCCATTGATGGATTCCCCGGATCAATCGTCACTGGTGGCGGTGGCGGCCGCCGTTTACGAAGGAATTTAGTGCCAGAACCGAAAGGACAGAGAAACGAAGAAGAGAAAACGAGCGAGCAATACGACAACGTAGTGATGTATGATGTATTGATGTATACCTTGTGCTGACCCGAGAAAGGGCATGGATATTAAGTCGGGTCGGGCAGAAACGAAACGTTTCCCGCGATCGTCTTTTCTCTGAACAGTCCTCTGCGGCAGTTCCATTCTACAATTCACAGTGAAGCAAGCAAGCAACGCAATCATGGACGCTTACGCTCCGCTACTAGAGAAAACGAAGGTGCCGCAGCCGTCTCTGCAGAAATTCGCGGTTGTTTCAATTTTCTCGAAGCTCCGTTCGGCGCCGGGGTACCTGGACTCCGATTCCGAACCAGGTAGAGAAGCAATCTCACAGTGCCTGCAGTCTCGGTCGCCGGCAGTTGTTGACCAGGGGGTCCGCGAGCTCTGCCGGTTCGTCTCGGATTCGAAATTGGACCTCTCACGGGGCTTGCTCGAGCTCCAGTCAGCACTCGAAGGTACAGACGAGAAGTTCGTTGGCTTGTTTGTTAAAGGCATTGGGTTTCTGGTTCGGCTGGGCTTCGAGAAGAGCCATGGCTCTTGGCGGTTCGCTTCCCCGGAGAATCATCCGTTTGTCAAGGTCAGTGAAATGATCAATTGAGATTTTATTCTCGCTTTTTACATTGCTGTGGTTAATGTGATAGGTGCATGATTAAGTCGTAGTCAACCATTTTGCTTCTTTTTTTGCCCCCTTTGTGAGTTAGTAAAGTTGTTTCATGGCTCAAGAATCTGAATGATTATTGTTCGTGGATTCTTGGAATGCAGGTTTTGCTGTCCAGAAGCGAGGTGCAGTCTGATTTGGTGCAGCAAGTTTTACTGTTTATGGCTAAGAGTAGGGGACTGGGAATGGATGAAGTCTGTGCATTCTTGAGACCCTTGCTGAACTTTTCAGTTCTGAGATTACCCTTTTCAGATTCCTCATCGTCATTGTTTGCAAGGCGGCTAATATCATCAGTGGCGTCGTGTTGTTGTTCATTCCCCAATGAGGGAATTGCTATTCTCAAGCTATTGATAGACTGCCTAAAATATCTGCCACATAAGACGTCGGATGTTAGTAATACCGTCTTTTATTCATTCCTTCGCTGTCCCTTCTGTTTTAGTGGATCAAAGCATTTTTCCATCTTCGATACTAGCTGAACATTCTGCTGGATGACTTCTCGCATCTGATGGTCCGTGGGTTTCTCTGTATTTATCAAGTGCAGGAGCTCCGGAACTCCTACTATTTTATAGAATGTACTGCTGATGCATATGTAGTGGTTTTGAGACACGCGATTGAAACAGGGCTGGTATGTTTCCTCTGGTTATTTGGTACTTATGTAAATGAAATGTCTCTCTAATATGTATTACACTACTGTCACACTAATTTAACGTTTTTGTTTGGTTAAATTTTCTATTTCTTTTATCTTGATATACAGTCAGTTGGCAAGGCCCAGCTGCTTGGGGTTGACCTGTCAGAAACAGTTCTTGCACTGTTGGCATGTTTTCATGGCCGTTCTGGTGGCAGTGAAGCAATTTATGAGTTATTGAAGCGCCTATTTGTTGTTCAGAAGGATCTTGGACTGGAATTCATACCAGAATTGTCAGCAACACTGCTTTCTTTGTCTATTGCCCTTGCGCAGTCTGAGCTTGAACACGAGCAGCTTTCTGTAGTCAAACTCCTCATCTTCCTTCTTAGGTGGAAGAAGGAAAATGGTGAAGTCACATAATTATTCTTGCCTTTGATAACTCGGATGACCCTATGTCAACCCATCTAGTAGTTTCACTGGAAATTTATTTTCTTGATATTTTCCTTCTCTTAAGTTTCATTAGAAGCTTTGAGTTCCTCAGACATAGGACAAAGTAGTAATGTTAATGGATATATATCTTATCTACTCATTCCTGCACTATAGGGCTCCAAAGAGGCTTATTCTAGCCAGTAGGGACCATGGCAAGCAATCTCAACTGTTCCTCACTTTATACAATGCATTAGGGGGTGCTTATCCTACATGTTTTTTTTTTATACTGAGGCCTTCGATCATCCGATGATGTTGTGCCTGAATGAGCATTGGCTTGGAATTGGATCTGTCTACCATAAGTACCTTGTAATTTTAATTTGTTCCTGTCAGTGTATATTCTCTATTACACTGCATATATTCCTTCCTCATAGCATCTGATTTTTTCTATATGTTTTCCAGGATATTCCGTCTCACTGATCCAACCTGCTCTAAGTGAAGAACTCATTCTCATGTGTCCTGTGCTTAACCTTATGTCGTCAGCTTCCAAACCTGTTAAGGCTGCAGTAGCTGATTTAGTTAGCATGGTAGAGAACTGCATAGTGCAATTATTAAAAGAACCCAAGACTGAGGTAGGCATGAGCTGGAAATTTCCACATATAAGTACAGTGGGGACTATCATTTATAGGCTTTTGCAACATCTTTGGTTTCAGGTCTGGTTTCTTTCTCTTCCCCTGATCTGTTCTTTTGATTCCACATTCACTATCTGTTCATGTACATATAAATTATAATCATTCAGGCTGCGTCATTTTTCTTTCTGTCTATTACTAATATGATAGTTGTCACTTGTCTGGACATTTTTTATTGTGCTAGACGTTAAGTTTGTGCATCTTCTTCAATATTCAAATAAGAAGAACATTGGCCAGATTTATGTTTTCATCAACTTATAATAGATGTTTGTAAGGGTTTAGATACTATTAATTGTTTCTATATAGAAGGCTGCAACAGGCTTTCATGGTAGCACCATGTGTTGCAGTACTAGTGTGTAGTTGATTTTAGGTAAGTGGCTTCTAGTAGATACTGACACTTCACTAAATACCCAGGAAAAGTTTTCGAAGTCTACACTGTGCTATATGGATCTTGTTTCTGTTGCTGAAACTTATAATGAAGAAAAGAAAAAATTGGGGCCTTCAGATTGGGTGTCTCAAGTACGAGACTATTGTTTGAGGGTCGTTGACAAGCGGAAATCCTCACTGCCTCTGTCTCAGTTTGAAGGAGTTTCCTTGACAGGTAAGCCATCGTAACCTGTTTTGGCTTTGTTCTTTTTCTCTTTTACAAAGGTACATGTTTAGTATGTATCGAGACTTGAGAGAATACTTGTATCCTAATCATCCACATTGACCTCCAGAGATCGCACCACTACTCAGTGCTGCTGGTGCGGTGTTGGTGATCCATCAGTCACTGGGCAACATTGCCATAGATTTGTTGGCAGCTATTGGCACTATGGATCCTAAACAGGGAGTTGGATTGTTGCTCGCCGTTCTATTTTACATCAATATTTTCACCAGAAAAGATGTCAATTACCAAAATATACTGGTGAGTTTTCCTAGTGAACATTGCTCTTTCTTTTCACTACTAAATTTTGGATGCGATTTAATCTTCCGTTTCCTTCATTTGGCTGTCCTTTATTGTTGTCAATTCATCCATGTCACAGCCACAAATTCTAACAGTGCTCTCATCACTGGCTGCACACAACATGATGGTTCCATTTATAATTCAAACAATTACGCCAATGCTTCAGAAGCCGGGGAAACAGTATGTCCCTTTATCAGTAATAATTTGCTTTCATCTGATTTGTCCTCTTCTATTTGATCCCTTGATATATGTGCTCAATATTTTTGTTGACGGAAAATGGGAGATGGATGCTACTTTAGCTGTCTGATGGAAAGTTGGTGTTGTAATAATACTTTTCGGAACCTCTTTCCATATTTGTGCTTGAATGCAGTTAGCGTTGCCTAATTTTGCTTGCCATATGTGTATGAATTCCCATTAGGATTCTGTCATTGTCACATGTTGCATCTTTTCTTACTTTCCTGTAGTTTTGGCTACTCTAAAGCATGGAATAACTATCGGTGACAAAGTAAAAGGTCTTTTTTGTAAAAAGCATTAAGGTCATGACTCTGTCAGGGCTATTCTTGTTGGTTAAGAATGGGTATATGGTTTTTTCTGAGAAACAGTATGCATATCTGTGATTCTATTGCTTTGCTTATGTCTAGTTATTTTTAACCATATTCTTATCATATCACATTCAGAGTGTTGTATGCCACAGGCACCCGTTTACTTTATCAGACCTGGGCTATGAATGACCGTGCTTTTGGGAGTTTGCAGGTAAGATTCTTTTGTTAAGCTATGATTCTAGCTATGAGACAGCATCATTCCCTCCTCTTTCTCCCTCTCTCTATCTCAATTCGTAATGTGTGATGAATTATTAATCATGACTTGTTTGTATGTAGGCAGCAATTCTTCCAAAGGGTTTTGCAGAATTCAAGTCTGAGAGAATTACATGTATAAGCTTAGCTGCTTCTATCAGAGATGTTTGCCAGAAAAACCCTGATAGGGGTGTTGATCTTATTTTGTCTGTCTCGGTATGTGGATGAAATCACTTGTATCTTTTACTTTCAAACCATGTGTATGCAAGTATAATTTCTTTTTTTGTTTCCTGTTACTGACTAGGCTTGCATTGAGAGCCAAGACCCAACCATTCAAGCTCTTGGTTTCCAAGGCCTGGCACATCTTTGTGAAGCTGATGTAGTTGGTAAATTTTATGCCCTGGGAACTGATTTTCACCTTTATTTTTATTTTCTTGCTTCTTTCTATGCTTTCAACTTGCTTGTCTAAACCTTAGCATCACATTTTCTTTTGATCGGCATCGAAGTGCTCAGCGTTTCTATATCAAGCGTGAACAATGTGGATAAACTAGGAGGCAGCTTCAGTAGCATCTTCTGTTTTACTGCTTTTGTTTTGGTGTCCTGTGAATACTGAATTACTGATGGTCACAAATACCCTGGATAATATATGTACACAAATACAGTGTTCTCTAACAAGTTAGAAACCCAGTGGTTTTTTACTTTCCAGCAAAACTATTCCAGACAATAGCTGGGGAAAAGCTCTCAAATTATGAGTACTCTGACATTAACAATATTTGCCAAGATGATGAACAATTATTTTATGATTTTTTTCAGACTTTTATACTGCCTGGGATGTCATTGCAAAGGATGTGCTAGATTACTCGGTGGACCCTGTTCTAGCGCAAAGGTAAGCATACAGTTGTG